ACTGTGTCTATTTCAGGCAGAAGGGGTGGTGTTGCTAAAGGCAAGGGCGGCTCTATGCACATGTATGCCAAGAATTTCTATGGCGGTAATGGTATTGTTGGTGCCCAGGTGAGATACACAAATTAGAGCTAATTAAACAAACACAAAAACATGATCAAAGCTTATTGCAATGTAATGAGTCTGTTTTGAAGGTTCCTCTCGGGGCAGGTGTGGCGCTGGCATGTCAGTATCAGGGGAAGAATGAGATTTGTGTCACTCTGTACGGAGATGGAGCTGCCAATCAGGTGAAAGCAACATTTTCACCATGCACTCACAGGTTTGCATGCGATCTACTGTTGTAAAATAACATCTTATCTGATTCATCTGCTTATCAGGGTCAGATCTTCGAGTCGTTTAACATGGCAGCTTTGTGGAAACTCCCCTGCATTTTCATTTGTGAGAATAATAAATATGGCATGGGGACATCAGTGGAACGAGCCTCTGCCAGCACAGACTACTACAAAAGAGGAGACTTCATTCCTGGATTGAGGGTGATTTCCTCAGAATTTTTTTGTGTGTGTGTGTGTTTGTTGTTGTTGCTGCATCACAACTCTATTTTTATTAACCAGTGCATGCAAACACATATAAACAACTACACTCCCCTAAAGATTTTTAAGTTGAAATATAGTCAAACAAAAATATTGTGAAGCATTATTACAATTTAAATACATTTTCTACTCTAATATATTATATAATGTGTTTTTGCTGTGATTTTAATCTGAATTTTGATTAAAATGATCCTTCAGAAATCATTGTAATTCTAATCTGGTGCTCAATAAACTTCTATTATTAATATGAATGTTGAAAACAGTTGCAGGTAAGTATGCAGGTAAATAGAAAGTTGATATTTAAAAAAAACATTCTGAAACTAATTCAGTTTTAGTTAAATGTATCAAAAATGACAGTAAATAATTATCAAAAGGTATTTATTTTCAAGATTTCTTTGAAAAAAGTGTCATAAATGTTTCATCAAAAAAATTAAGCAGCAAAAACTTTTAACAATTTTAATTTCTTGCTAACAACGTGATTAAGAAAAAATTGTTAAACTGAAAACCAATAGTAGCTAAGACCTGATTTCTGAAAGATCATATGGCATTGAAGAAGGTGTAAGAAGTAATAATGCTGAAAATTCAGCTCAGCCAACAAGTCAATTGAAATTATATTTCAAATTGTAATATTTTGACTGTTTTAGTTTTTTTTATTAATTCAATTTTTTTTATTAATTTAATCATTGACTGGTGAAGTAAATCAAACCTTTTCTTTATATTTTCGCCAGGTTGATGGTATGGATGTTCTTGGTGTCAGAGAAGCAACCAAGTTTGCAGCAGATTATTGCAGATCTGGAAAGGTAAAAAAAAAAGTCATAATTGACATGCTTAACAAGTCAAGTAGGGGCTATAGATTTAGACACAGACTATAGTTTTCTAACCAAACATTCGTTTTTGTGCGATCTGGTTGGTGACCGGTGGGCAAATGTTTGGCCTGTGCTCTTTAGGGTCCCATATTAATGGAGTTGCAGACATATCGTTATCATGGCCACAGCATGAGCGATCCTGGGGTCAGGTGAGGTTGACCATCAGCCTTTCCCCACCCCGCTGCAGGCCCTCTTTTAAAACCCAAACCTCAACTAATTGACTCCAACATTATATGTTTAGTTTTAGGTAGTGAGCAAATTATTTCACTGAGCTTACTATTTAATGTACCTTTAATCAGTGCTTTTCTTGTATTAGTTATCGCACACGTGAGGAGATCCAGGAAGTTCGCAGTAAGAGTGATCCCATCACAACGCTCAAAGACCGCATGATTAGCAGCAACATGGCCAGTTTGGAGGAGATCAAGGTACTGGATACATCATTTTCTGCATTTTACACATTTCATCAAAAGAGTCTGGTGGCCATCGGCTATTTTAGAATGAATTTTATTTTCACATTGCTTCATTTTTACTTTATTTTTACTTTACTCAATGCTAAAAAACTTGCAACTGGAACACTGCAGGCTATTCACTGAAATTAATTAAATTATTACATTTTATATTGAAATTAATCATGCTTTAAATCAGTAACAGAAAAATAAAACATTTTAAACTTGTGTCTAAAGATATATACTTTAAGCAACTAAGAAATATGCAGCCTTTAATGTATATATAAGGCTATTTTTTCATATTATGTTCCTTATTTATGCAACCAGAGAACAATCTAACTTGTGTATTATTTTATAATTTTTGATATATTCTTTTATTTCTATAGAAATAAAAATACATATTTAAGGATAAAATACAGTAAATACATGTGCATTAATTGTAACTTGAATATTTAGGTAATATAATATAATTTTTTCTCTTTTTTATGTAAAAATAACTAATAAACACCATAAGAAAGTAACGGGAGATATCTTTCTAATTTTGGGGGTACAATTTGAGGATCATAAGTGTGACCGCTAAGTAAAGAGTACTGGAGGTTCAACACCTGCTGTACTTATCCCCATATTATGTTGTTTTAATCATGACAGGACATTGATGCAGATATCCGTAAGGAAGTGGAAGAAGCAGCACAGTTTGCCACCACTGATCCAGAGCCGCCGCTGGAAGATTTGTGCAACCACATCTTCTACAATGATGCTCCATTAGAGGTCAGAGGCACAAACCCCTGGACGAGACTCAAATCCATCAGTTGAAGAATTAATGCTAATGATACAGCTATTCATTCCTCTCATAATCCTATATGCACAAACAGATGGATAATTTTGATATCCATAAAAACGTAATTACATTCCTTTACAGCCGGTACTTTTAGCTTTGCAGACTGTTATATTTATATATTTGGAAGCACATAGTGTTGAATGATCAATGTTTAATTCCAATATTAGAAAAATAGATTATTTTGAAAATAGATTTTAATGAGCTCAGTCCTTGTCTCTAAATGGAATTCTTAGCAATGATTTATAAACAGTTATTTTTTATCATCATATTGCAATATGATGCTCAATATGAAGTTTTGGATACTGAATTCATTGCACTATATTTAGATCTACATTAAATGAATTGCTGTTTGTAACAATACCGTCATTAGAACCTATGCTTACAGGAACATTCACAGAATGTTCTCTCAATGTTATGAATAAACATTACAGTAATTGAACTTCAATTAAGAGTCTTTTTTTGTTGACTTTATGTTTATATTAATAATGTTCTCAAAATGTTACCAAATAAATAATGTTGTTTCTTTTTGCTATTGAACATTAAGGGAACAGTACTTTATCCCTAATGTTTGGAAACATGCAAAATGTAATGGTTCCTTAACATATATAACAGTATATATGCAAGAAAAATTTGGTTAAAATAAACCGGATATTTTGAATGCTCAGAAATACCATTTACAAAATACAATATAGCTATAATAATTATTCAGCAAAGTTTGACTTTTGAGTCCAAATCAGAGTTTTAAAAAACATGTAATGGGAACTAAAATTATTTAATTAAGGTTAAAATGTAGAACTGTAATTTGAAATTGGCTGTCTGTGCCATTGTTAATTTGGTTTGCTACTGTAAATCCTGATTTACTGATTTAAACTGAAGAATTGATCAGACTTACCAGCAGATGTCGCCCTCTCTTCACCTGCTTAAAAATGTTCAAATCACAGCTGTAAAATAAATGCCAATTCATTGGAGGCAGCCTAAATTCTTGCGTACTTTCCAGTGCATGTGTGTCATATGATGTTACCCAAAAGTGATGATGGGTTATGATGCATCAGTCTAGACTCTGACTAACAACATTTACTACACGTAGCCTAATATTTAAGTGTGCCCATTGTTGGTTTCGGTGTACATGGAAAAAATGCAGTGAAATTAACATTAGAAATAACTATTAATTATTTTTCATTTATGTTTGCATATGGACAAGAAGTTAATATTTTGTGTCCAAAATTAAAGTCTGAATATGTAAAATAGTGCTATTGCTGACCAGATTTACTACTGGTTTCAGATAAAGTATAATACTGTGTAAGAATTTATTTTTATATAGGCTAAATATGTTACCCCAAGGGACGTCACGGTGGTGCAGTGGGTAGCACAATCGCCTCACAGCAAGAAGGTCACTGGTTCGAGTGAATGCTAGAGTGTATGGGTGTTTCCCGGTGTTAGGTTGTGGCTGGAAGGGCATCCGCTGTGTAAAACATATGCTGGATAAGTCGGCGGTTCATTCTACTGTGGCGACCCATGATTAGTAAAGGGACTAAGCAGAAAAGTAAATAAATGAATGAACGTTACCCCCAAAAACATAGGTTGATATGCAGTGGAGTAAACTCTACTTAGAACAACTCTATTTGTGCAGAGGGATGTAAACAAAAACAATGGTCCCAACATATTTCCTGCTTTACATTTTTATTTTCTATAGCTTCTGAGAATCCAAAATAAGCCACATATTGATAAATAATGCTATGATAGCTGTTTTAACATTAAGTTATTGAAATGCCTCTTGTCACAGTTATAAAATAGTTCTAACAAGAAGGAAATGTTCATGGGCCAATGACATGACCACACTGAAATGGTATATAATTACGAGATATAGGCCTATATCATCTAGTGGTCATAAAATCCTCTCAAAATACAACATATTAATAAATAAATATGGTAGGCTACAGTTTTCTTAAAAAAGTTATCCGTATTACAAATATACAGAAAAGGGATTATAGTAAATAAACGTGATTATTATTTAAATACGTACATTTAGTCTCAAACACAGGTGGAGGAGGTAAAGGATGCATTGCGCTCTCACCTGTCCGTCTTTTTGAGCGCCACAGCTTCAGCCCCGCCCTTCTGTCAATAAGTGACAAGCGCAATAGCCAATCCGATTCGTCACACTGGAAGAAGCGGAAGTGAGTAGAGCGCGTGAACGTGTGTTTTTTCTGTCAGAGGGGAGAGAGCGAGAGAGAGAGGGCGACTGGCACGAGATCAGGGGCACGGTCATTTTATTCCTATGGAAACGCTGCACTGACTGGCAGAGGTGAGCGGAGGAAAAGGTGGCGGCGCTTTTGGATGCGCAACGGATACCCAGCTTTCTTCACTCAGTGTCAAAAGCGCGGAAACAACCAGACGTAATTTCTTCAAAGTGCCTCAGAATTTCCCTTTTGAGTCTGATTTATTTAAAAAAGGAGCCTTGCAAAAAGTGAAGATGCCCCTGGCACAACTAGTTGACCCTTGGAGAAAGATGGCAATCGGGAGTGCGGCGAGCGAGGTGAGTCTCCGCTGCATTCACAGGTTTAAATCGCTGACATGTTCATAATATAAGCAGCACTTCTGTTTTTGACGCCGTTTCGTTTCTGTGTGGCGTTTGTGTACAACCTGTTCCAGATCTCTATCTGTATATCCGATGTTGGGGATTAGCGGTTATAGCGTGTGACCCGTGCGCGTAAATGCTTTTAAAACGATCCGTATGTCAAAGGCCTTTCACATTTTTGGACTTGTAGTTACTTTGGAAGTAGCATGCGAATTCATATTGTATGATACTGTATGTTTTGTTAATGGACTTTAAAGTTTTGATGAATGAGACTACAACGTAATGTTCGTGGATCTCAATCTGATTCGTGCTGATGATGACAGTTTGGTGGTGATGAATCTGTTCATCTTTAGAATGAATCTTTGCTTTGTCACCGAGAAATGTAAATTTAGTTAGCACTGAACTTTAAAATATTTTTTTTAACAAAAGAAGGAAGAAACTGCCATAAAATGTCATACAGAAACCCTTTAAAAACTCATTCAGTGTAACAATAGTTTATAGTAGATGGCAAGAAAATCTGATGACAAGTCATTTTAAATAAATACAGTGCTCAGCATACTTAAGTACAGCCCATTTTAAAAATGAATATTTGTATCCATTTCCAATATATTTTGGTGCATTTAAACAAATCAGATTTATTAAACAGATATATTTATCAAAATAATATTTTAGTCATCAAACATGTTTAGAAATTGAAATATAACACAATTAAAGCAAACAAAATATTGCAAAAAAGAAAAAAAAATTACAAACTACAAAATGTCAACCAAATTAAAAAAACTATTTATTTTTGCATTTGTATTTAATATTTTTCTATAACATAAATTTGGGTGTACTAGTTTTTGGACTGTTATCGTAAGTTATTTTGTTAGATAAGCTCCAGATTTGGCTTCTAATGTAACGACTAATCTAATGTATATGCACAAATATAATAATGTATGGCTTTCTGTCAAAAATTTGAATTTAAATGATTGACTTGTAAATGCTGAGCTATTTTGCCACTATCCTATAAAGCTATAGGTTTTACTCAAGAAGTGTTTAGTGATTTAAAATCAAAATGGATCTAAATTTATGTAATCACTTCTATGTATCAGGTCAGAATGTTTCATTTGAACTTAAAACAACTGTTATGCTGAATGATGAAGTAATGTTATGTCAACCAAATGTTTTATTTTTCGCTAAAGTTAATGTCTTTGGATACAGGATCATTCAGAAGAGTTCCAAAGTGAACTGTTATATAATTCAGAATGTGAAAATAAAAAAAAAATTCTACCATCATTAGTCGCTCTCATGTGTTTCCAAACCTGTTTGACTTTTTTGGTGCTTGGTTGAGCACAAAAGGAGATGATGGTCAATGACAATGTACTGCTAAAAATCTCCTTATCTCGATGTGCATTGTGCTATGACGAAGTTCTTAAGAACTGTTTTTCCTTAAAAAAATAAACAGAAACTCTTAATGTCTGTTCATGTCATATATTTGAATCAGTTAATTGTAAAAAGTGAATACAATTATAACAAACCAATACTAATTAGGAACAGGGCAGTACAGAGAAATATTTCCTATGCTAAATACACAGCCATATCACCCTGCAGCTCAAGACTGGTTACACACTGTAGCTAAGCAGGCCATACAGTATGGCCATACATGATAAATGCGCTATATGAATACACATTACTTACTTACTTACTACTTATTAAGTAATCAATGTTAAAATCTGGCACAGAATTAAAATCAGAGTCGTTTTTTTAATTTTTATTTATTTATTTATTTATTTATTTATATATTTATTTATTTATTTATATATTTATTTATTTATTATTTTGTCTGAATTCAAATTTATTTACCTATAAATAACAAAGGTTTAAATGGATAGTTCACCCAAAACTGAAAATTCATTTACCAGGCCCGTAGCCAGCCTATTAAAAGTTCTGGTTCTTTTTTCTCCAAAAGTGGACCTTTTTGCTGTTATTCGCCTCATTTTCTATTGAATTATGAGGTTCAAATGCTGCTTTTTAGTGACATCTTAAGCACCAATTTTTTGCTGGATTTGCTTGTCGAATAGTTTTTTTAAAGGTAATTTCAACTTTTAAAATAGTGGATATAGTGGAGGACATACAGGAAAGCATTGGGAGCAGAAAGAGGGGAAGGATGGGCACAGGTCCTCCTGTCAGGAATCGAACTTGGGTAGCCAACGCAATCTCACTGCAATTCGTAACATTTTGATTTAGTGGACGATTCGTTTGAATTTGTACGGTCTAATTCGTACAATTTAGTATGATTTGCTCATCATCACCCAATGACTATTGGGTTTAGGGGTGGGGTTGGGTGCCACACCTCCTTTTTAAAATCATAAATTTTTATACGACTGAACTCATACGAATTTGTATGAATTAGCTACTAAACTGACAAAATGTAAAATACTTAAGTTTTCTCATAAGATCTGGCTGGGGTAGCCATGAGCAGCATGGCCCTATACTGTATATGTTGCCGCACTTAACCACTCGGCTATTAGCGTCTGATGGTTTAAATTACTACATTTTTCGATGTAACAATAATATTTCCTACATTTTTGTCAAAATGTTTACCATACTATTTTATGTTTACAAAAAATTATGTTTATAAACAAATGTGCATTTAAACTGTAAGTTATTATCATTTTATAAATGATATGAGAATAACATTTTAGAAATATAAAAAAATAAATTTTAACAATTAAAAAAATCATTTATTATAATCTATCATTAAAAAACTAACAAAAAATAATTAGGCATCTGTTGAAACTTGTTTTAAATCAAAAACTGTAGCCTATAGGCAAATAACACACTGGCCAACTCATTTAAATGGATTTGTCCATTTAAATAATAATAATTCAATTTGTCTTAAAGCCATCTTCTATTGGTTATTTTCACAAATTATGATGGCATACTGTCAAAAGAAGACAAATGAGTTCAAATAGGGGCTTAATCCTGGGCTTTTTTGACAGGGGGTTGGTTATTCAAACCACCCGAACCCCACCTTGGTTTAGGGCCTGTTTGCTTACATTTTACTTGCTCCAAATCTTTTTGTCTTTCTGTCTTCTGTTGGAAAAAGCTGGAAACCTTTAAAAACGAAATTGGCTGTCGTGTCTGTGAATGAGAGAGTGTATGGGTGTTTCCCAGACCTGGGTTTTGTCTGGCAGGGATGAAAAATACGCCCAAGGAATTAGTGGTTCATTTCATTGTGGCGACCCCCTGATAAATCACCTTGTGAGTTAGTGGAAACCTGTAACTATTGACTTGTCTTTACTATGGAAGTCAATGGTTACATGTTTTCAGCATTCTTCAAAACATCTTCATTTGTTTTCAACAAAATAAAGAAACTTATAAAGGTTTGGAACTACTTGATGGCGAGAAAATAGTGAGTATATTTTTATTAACTATCTCTTTTAACCTTTATGTACTGCAGCCATAAGACATTTGTCCTTTCTGCGGTTTTCCTAAAAATTCAATGCCCCTTATTGTAACATTTCGCATGCTGATTTCCAAAGGATGTGACGTGCATGCAAATGATCACAGGTTAATCCAGTATGTTTCGAAAAACTCCTGTTCACTTCACTCCACTCTACTCTCACTATTTTTCCAGAAGTTACAGCTACAGCCCCATTGATCCGCAAGTAATAAAAGCCTGCCGTAAAGCTGCCAGGAACATATTGTAAAGGAGAATAGCAGAACAGAGAGGCAGATAACAAAGTGTTCCCTTCCAGCTAGCAGATGATCACAGGCCATCCTTCAGTTTCGCTCCCTCGCAATGACAGATTGGCCGGTCTGAGTCGCCACCCTGACTAATTAACCCTAAACAGTCAATGACAGCATGCAGGCCCGGTTTAACAAGACGTTCCACCACTGTCATTTGGTGCAGAGGAGCAGACGCTCATATTGGCATGAGTGAACGTCTGCTGTAGTAATCAAGGCTTTGTATCGCTTAGAAACTGATCCGCACGGAGATTGTAATGTTCATTGTAGTCTCAGCCTCAGACGGACGGCCTACAGACCACCCACAGTCAGTTCGATGACCGTCTGATGATTCATTTTTCAAGAAACAAAGTGATGAGAAATGTACGAACTCCAAACAGATTGACTGACAGCTGCACTACTTGCTTTAGAGGTACTAGGTTAAATTTCTATGAATATTTGGTTAAGTTTGCCATCTTAGTACTGGTTTATGGATGCATGATATATAGTTGAATTCCGAATTATTCGATTTTTAAAATTTTTTTATTTTTAAAATATTTCCCAAATGATGTTTAACAGAGCAGGGAAATGTTCACAGTATGTCTGATAATATTTTTTTCTTATGGAGAAAGTCTTATTTGTTTTATTTCAGCTAGAATAAAAGCAGTTTTTAATTTTTTTAAAAACTATTTTAAGGTCAGTATTATTAGCCCCTTTAGGCTATATATTTTTTCAAAAGTATACAGAACAAACCATCATTATACAATAACTTGCCTAATTCCCCTAACCTGCCTAGTTAACCTAATTAACCTAGTTAAGCCTTTAAATGTCACTTTAAGCTGTATAGAAGTGTCTTGAAAAATATCCAGTCAAATATTATTTACTGTCATCATGGCAAAGATAAAATAAATCAGTTATTAGAGATGAGTTATTAAAACAATTATTTCCAGAAATGTGTTGAAAAAATCTTCTCTCCGTTAAACAGAAATTGGGGAAAAAAATAAACGGGGCAAATAATTTAGGGTGACTAACAATTACTTCAACTGTATGTAACACCAAGATGGGAATCATTTTGAATTTAAAAATGCAAGTATATGTACAACTTGTGTGCTTACACTTGTTTGAACTTGTGTGTTTACACTATTGGGTTTTTTATTTTTTATATCCTTTAACTCTATTTTCTACTGTATGGCATCCATAATTGCTATTGACTGATGTAATAGATTTCTGGATTTATTGCTATATAATAAGTAGGGCTGGGGGATATTGCAAAAACAATTATCACAATATAATGTTTCATATCATTCTATTTCAATAAATAATATTAAATATTTTTTAACTAGCTGTCGCCTCACAGCGAGAAGGTCGCTGGTTTGAACCTCGGCTCAGTTGGCTTTTCTGTGTGGAGTTTGCATGTTCTCCCTGCCTTCGCGTGGGTTTCCTCCGTGTGCTCCGGTTTCCCCCACAGTCCAAAGACATGCGGTACAGGTGAATTGGGTAGGCTAAATTGTCCGTAGTGTATGAGTGTGTGTGTGAATGTGTGTTTGGATGCTTCCCAGAGATGGGTTGCGGCTGGAAGGGCATCCGCTGTGTAAAAACTAGCTGGATAAGTTGGCGGTTCATTCCGCTGTGGCGACCCCGGATTAATAAAGGACTAAGCCGACAAGAAAATGAATTAATGAATTTTTAAACAATATATTTAGGAATATTAGGATTTTTTTAACCACTTTATTTTAATTTACCAACATTACTAAGGAAAACAGTTTTAATAATCAAAAACAAAAATATTTAAACAAAATATCTGATCTCTTTATAATTAAATAAACATACATGTTAAAGAGACTCTTAAACTTGAAAAATAAAATGTTATAAAGTGTGTGCAATTGGAAAGGTAGATCAACGTCTATAAGGTGTCAGTAATAATGATACAGTAAAGCTCAAACTCTGTCAACAACACAAATTATGATCATCAAATATGAGCTTTCAAGTAAAGGAACTAACCATCAATATTCAAATACATATTGCAACATTACAAATTGTGAAGATGAATGACCACATTACCCACAATGCTAAACGCTTTTTTCAGATGGGCTGCTGGCTGGGATGCACAAGTAAAGAAACCACACTATTGCACAACACATGGACATGACTTATGGATATATATCGCCCATTAGGGATGCTCCAATCAATCGGCCAGAGATTGGTACTGGCCGATAATCGAATTTAATGACTCGCTCGGTACTCGCTGATCTAGCCGATCTCATGAACCCATCACAAGTGTTTGTTCACAAGTTTACAAGTAGAGGAAGACACATATGCGCTCCCAGGTTACACATCCAGGTTATACATACAGCTTCGCTACAACACTTAGAGGTAAATGATGTGTGGGGTCACAACAGCTAAAATATATACAGAAGTGTATAAACTGTATTTAGGCCTTTTTACGTATAAGAACGGGAAGCTCTGTGCTTTTGATAATATTGCAAGTTCACTTAAAACCTAAAACAATAATATTGTTTATTGCAATATACAGTTGGAACCAGAAGTTTACATACACTCAAAAAAAGGAACATAACCGTTTTTGAAAAAACATGTCTGATGGTAAATCGTACTAAACGTTTACTATTTTAGGTCCATTAGGATTACCTAAATGATTTACATTAAATGCCAGAATAATGAAAGAATTATTTTTTAGAGAAGTTTTTTATTAATTTCTAGACAAGTTTACATACATTTTCTTGTTTTGTTTTTTTTTTTTAGCTTTGCTTTTAAACTTTATAATATTGGTCAAATGTTTTGGGTATCCTTCCACACGCTTCTCACAATAGTTTGAAGGAATTTTGGCCCATTCATCCTGAAAGAATTGGTGTAACTGAGTCAGATTTGTAGGCTGTCTTGCTTGCACAAGCTTTTTTAACTATGTCCACAAATTTTCTATAGGATTGAGATCAGGGCTTTGTGATGACCACTCCAAAACATTCACTTTGTTTTCCTTAAATCACATTTTAAGTAATTTGCCAGTATGCTAAGGGTCATGGTCTGTTTAAAAAGACCCATTTGTGGCCAAGTTTTAATTTCCTAGCTGATGTCTTGAGATGTTGCTTCAGTATTTCTACATAATGTTCATGATGCCATCTATTCTGTGAAGTGGACCAGTCCCTCCTGCAGCAAAACAGCCCCACAACATGATGCACAGTTGGGATGGTGTTCCTAGGCTTGTAAGCTTTTCCCTTTGTCCTCCAAATGTAACACTGGTCATTATGGCCAAACAGTTCAATCTCAGTTCCACCAGACCACAGGACATGTCTCCAAAAATTATTCTTTTTTTCTTGTGTAATTTAGCAAATTGTTATCTGGCTTTTTTTTGTTGTTGTTGATTCAGGCTTGTTGATTTTTCCATGTTGTCACACAAGGAAGCAGTGTGTTTGAGGTTTTCCTTAAATACTATTCTACAGTTGTGTTTCCAATTAACTCAAATGTTGTCAATGAACCAATCAGAAACTTTCAAAACCTTGACATTATCATCTGAGCTTTTTCAGACGCATAATAATCTTATTGTATGTAAACTTGACTTTCAAGAAAAGTTAAAACAATTTCTCTAAAAATCTCTCTCTAGTTATTTTGCCATTAAGCATAACAGAAATAAATTTGATAGTCCTAACTTACCTAAAAAAGATAAAGTTTAGTCACATTAACATCTGACTTTTTGTTAAATGGTTATGCGCCTATTTATACAATGTATATAAACTTCTGGTTTCAACTGTATTTGGTGCAATATATCAAACGACAACAAATAGATATGACAGGCCTCCATGTATTAATTAATTAATTAAATGTTCTAATTTGGTTATGAAATAAAATAACCAATGAAATGGCAAATAAGATGGGAATAATTTTTATTTTTAAAACGCAATGTTAAAACAAAAACAAAAAGGACTATCTATCTATCTATCTATCTATCTATCTATCTATCTATCTATCTATCTATCTATCTATCTATCTATCTGTCTGTCTGTCTGTCTGTCTGTCTGTCTGTCTGTCTGTCTGTCTGTCTGTCTGTCTGTCTGTCTGTCTGTCTGTCTGTCTGTGTGTGTATGTATATGTATGTATATATATATATATATATATATATATATATATATATATATATACTGTATATACTGTATATATAGTGCTCAGCATATATAAGTACACGCCTCTCATATTTTTAATGAGAAGCTACAGCTCCAAGGTGAAAACCCTACTCAGTGTTTGTGCTGCAAAACTTCCCTTACTATAAAACACATTTTACTGGACTGTCCTGCTTTTACTGATTCCAGAAGACTTTTTTATGAAATGAACTCTTTTTTTGGATATTTTTAACAAAGTGAAACCAAAAGAGATTTTAGCATGTTTATCATGCACCAACACTAAAAATCTTATTTAATTTATATATTCATTTGTTGGTTGATTTTAAAATTGTATATTTATTATTGAAAGGTTCCTGCCATGAAAATAGCCCTGGTTGCTGACATGACATTAAATAAAAAAATACATTGCATTAATAGGAAGCTACACAATAATATATTTGACATTTACATTAGATTAGTCAGTACTGAAGCTAAATCTGGAGTTTATCTAACAAAGTAACTTACAACAATGATCCAAAAATGAGTAATTCAAATGCATGTTTTTTTGCATTATTTTGCATGGATTTAATTGTATTATCTTTTAATTTCTAAAGATGTTTGGTGACTAAAATGTTATTTTAATAAATATATCTGTTTAATAAATTGTTATGTTTAAATGCACCAAAATACATTGCCTATATTCACTGAGAAATGGATACAAATATTCATTTTCAATATGGGGTGTACTCAATAATGCTGAGTACTGTATTTATAAAATTGCTTTACTGAACATTATGATAATATACGATCCCTGAATTCATCGTCAATTTTTTTTTTTTTTTATTGTTTCATGTATTAATTTAGTGTTCTAATTCATTTTGAGTTCAATTAAAATAACCAATGGTTTTTAACATCACCAGTGCTTTTTACTACTGAACATAAACTGTGCATAAAACGCAGGTTTAAAAAAAAAAAGAAGCAAAAGCTGTTGTTATTTTGCGCTGGTCTGATTTTATCAAGCTGTTTAAATTGTCAGGTTTTTGGGCAAAACAAATCCCAATGTGGACCAGGCATTATACCGTTACTCAAAGATCTGAATATGTGTGACTGTTTTCGGTGCACTTCAGACCTTGAACACATGATATTGTGTGCTCTGTCTGCAACGCTTCATGAGACACTGAATGACCATATTCACTTTTCTCTCACATGACAGACGGAGCCCCATCATGTCTTGGAGGACTCAATGGGAGAAGAGGAAAATCTATCATGTCAAGTAAGTGTCATGTTTTCTCCCCGTTTCTACACTCTTCTTTCTCTCTTCTAGGTCTTCTCAAGTTGTCTATTTCTCAAGCTTGTTCTACCTTTTTATCCCTGTCCTTCTCATCTTTTCATGACATGTCCCCTCATGGGCTTTGATGTCCTTATTTTATTGCTGCTCAGTGTTTTGTAGCACTTGACATTTGCAATGGAGCATGTTTTCAAGTGTGCAGCATAGAGAAGTGGCTCTTCTGAGGCGACATTTACGCTAGTGCATTTGTGTTTTGAAACGCATAACTTTTAATACGGGTTTGCCTGACATCCTCGCTATGGAGTTTTTGACGCTTGAACGTGGAGATTTTTGGAAATGCTGCAGAGCCTGTTTTAGTTTGTAAATTTTGGGGTTGAGTATCAATATTGACAGACTAAAACTGCTGCACACATTCGCTCCCTGATTGGCTTTTAATATTTGCACATGCTTTCCTGATTCCTCAAGCCTTGATCAGTTTGTTTTATTTTTGTAACACGCGTTCAAGTTCAAAGAAACAGAGACATCAGAAAGCACATTACGTATGTTTTTATTTTAAAATGGCAGATTGTTTTCATTTATATAGAAATGCATAGAATTTTTTTGGTCGTTTTCTTTCTTCAGAAGAAAAAATATTATAGGAAATACTGTGAAAAATTCCTTGCTTTGTTTTAAACATTATTTGGGAAATATTTAAAAAAGAAAAAAAATCACATGAGCGCTAATAATTTTGACTTCAACTGATAATTGTTTAAATAATCGTGATTACAATTATGACCAAAATAATCGTGATTATGATTTTTCGCATAATCGAGCAGCCCTACTCGACGCCCACACCGGTGAAGATGCAGAATTTCGAGTTTTGGGTAAAAGGCAATGTAAATGCTCTGTATAGTACAAGTTGTACATAACGATATCCCATTATAATGTGTTTGATTTAATAAGTGCACAGGCTGCCATTGTGCATTATAATTTTATAGCAACTTTTAGCTTCTGACATTCATTTTGTTCATGTAGTGTTTTTGGAGAGATCTTTTTCTGAAACATAATGGAAAGGCCAGTATGGATGAGATAACAGAATTAAAAGTTCTTGTGTCAGATGTCAAACTGCTTTGAATTTGTATATTAGGGAGAAATGGCAATGGAATGAGATTAGTATAAAAACAACAAATTAAATGAAGTAAACCCATTTGTAGAGGAAAGAAATAATTTGCATTTTGAAAATAGACATGGTCAGATTGTATATATACGAGCAGGGCTTGAAATTAACATCGTCAACCCGCCTAATGGGTTTGTGGCCCGGGTTAGACAGTCAATCTCACTGGCCAATTAAAAATTAATTTTTAAATTGTATTCTTCTTAAAAAGCAGACTTAATGGCCACTATGAGATATGACAAAAAAAAAAAAAAAAAAAAACAAGCAAAAGAAAGCAGGTAAGCTGCTGGCTTTATACAGTTGAAGTCAGAATTATTAGCCCCCCTGAATTATCAGCTGACTGTTTTTTTTTTTTTTTTTTTTTTTTTTCCCCAATATCTGGTTTACAAAGAGAAGATTTTTTTCAACACATTTCTGGACATAATAGTTTTAGTAACTCATCTCTAATAACTGATTTATTTTATGTTTGCCATGATGACAGTAAATAATATTTTACTAGATATTTTTCAAGACACTTCTATACAGCTTAAAGTGACATTTGAAGGCTTAACTAGGTTAATTAAGTTAACTAGGCAGGTTAGGGTAATTAGGCAAGTTGTTGTATAACGATGGTTTGTTCTGTAGGCTATCGTTAAAAATTATCTTAAAGGGGCTAATAATTTTGTCCTTAAAATTGTGTTTAAAGATTAAAGACTGCTATTATTCTTGCTGAAATAAAACAAATAAGACTTTCTCCAGAAGAAAAAATATTATCAGATGTACTGTGAAAATGTCCTTGCTCTGATAACCATCATTTAGGAAATATTTAAAAAAGAAAAAAATTGAAAGGGGGGGCTAATAATTCTGACTTCAACTGTATACCAAATGGCAAGATACAGACAATGCTCAATCACTGACGAGAGCTTCAGTGTTGTTAAGCGCATGAGTGTTCAAAAGTTTCAAAAAGAATTGGTTGCTTGCGCAAAGCATCTGTGCAGGGGAATGCAACTGGTGCGATCGGTTCTATTTGAAATAGACTGGATAAAAAAGATGCTCATGCGTCTACACTCCTGTTGCTCTCAAGAGCTCAAGATATTTTTGAAATGTCTTTTGTAAGCAGCAGCAGTTGTTTTCGCTTTGAACAGATTATCATATCATTATCGCACACAATGTTTTTCACCTGCTTTCTTTTGCTTACAGTTAGATTGGGCTAAGAATTCTTTATTTTTTATATTTACTTTCAGTGTGGCTAGAGATGTGGAAATGTTGAGTTCACACTGCATGATTTTTAAAGAAGTCGTGTCACAGATGTTTTCACACTGTATGACTATCTGGGCGAGCATTTTGTCACTGCTTTGTTTACACTGCAAGATGGATCGGCGTTAATCGCTGACAACTTAGTCCAAACTACGTCTCGCAACCAAAAACACGTAGTATGACTTTTGCTATTAACTACATAATGAGAAAGAAACCTTTAATGGGATAGAAATGTACATTTTTGCTCACCTGAGTTTGAAGGGAATTATCAATTTCTCCTCAACTTTTTTTCTTTTTTGACCCGGTTGTGATATTACTCCCATGACACCTCAAACAGACAAGGGTGCTCCTGCCAAATTTACACTAGTTTTTCCTCCATTTCTTGGGTCCAATACAACAATTTGAGCCTATTACATTCAGAGATGATGTTTATGTTGACAAATCTTTATTACACATGAACTAAAATTTAAAGTATGATATTGCAGGGCTCGAAATGAACTTTCTTACTTGGTAGCACCGGTGCTCCCAACCTGAAATATTTAGGAGCACCAGAAAAAAATTAGGAGCACCCACCAAAAATGAATGATATATTTGTCAAGTTGTATATTAAGGGATTTATTGTATTTGAAAACACAATCAAACATCAATTGGGACTAAAAAAACACAGAAACAACTATCTAACTAATGCTGTGATGACTTAATATTTGTGCAATAATTCCAAAATGAATGTTGAATAATTATAAAATATTAATGATGATGATGATGATGACAATAATACTAATAATGAATTATATTTCTCATCATCATGCTGCTCTGAATGTGCTTTAATGTAAGTTATCTGCTATATAAAGTCCTACTGTTAATTTATGAAAAATAAATTGATGGTTTGCATCAAACGCAAATGAAGCATTGTAGTAAGAAATATTTATTTTGTACTATTGTTTTATATGCATGTCAATTTAACAAATAATAGTTCTGCTACAAAACAAACAAAATAATATAATAAATCATTCAATTCAATGCTGAATGCTGCAAAGCAGTCATCAGTAATTAAATAGAAGAATAATATACACCTCAAGATAGAATAGACAAAAGAAAGGAAGAAAAGTCTCACTTTTAAAGGGCCATGACTCCCCCCACTTTCAGTTAAAGTCTACTTCAGAATTTTTTCAAAAGATGCATGATTAATGGGCGTGGAGCTCCGCGAGCATCGGGCAGGAGTGGGCGTGGCCAGCAGGGTAGAAGGGGAGCGAACGAAGCTAGCTCACAAAATTAGACAAACCGTGAAGAGACGCATGAGTTTATAGTTTACAAAGTTAAAATGCAAAGAAATAAACAGTGATTTAATGCCCTGCTACATTTGTTATTCATAATTTCTATACACATAACCACAATTTATATAATAATAAAGATAAGTGTGTTCATGTAAACCGTATAAATGAGGACTTCTCCCTCAATCCCCTTATCCAGCAGACTCAGTGCAGCAGGTCTCCTGACCTGTCTATTTTAACCATTAGCCCTGCTGGTAATCTGGAGGATTTAGGCAAACACAGCAGCACGGCGATGTGTCTGAATGTAAACGAACTCCTGATGAAAGACAGCGTCCGCCATTCTCTAATTCTCATGCTGCTCTCCCGACAAAAATTCTAGCAGCACGCACACAGCTTTGCTGTATGATCGGCCCTGACAAGATCGCGGGGGAAAACATGCAACAAACCGCGTGGATCATGGAAACAAACGCATATGAGCCTTCATGAACGGCTAAATACTGTGTGCCCGTGGGTCCGTGACACAGCTCGGGCTTGACTCTGGCAGGTCTGGCAGGTCTCATGAATAAATAAGCAGCCGGCTCTTCTCATAGGATAAGAAAACTCCGCTATGAATAATAATGAGAAACCGAAGCGTCATCATTACACTTGCAGTACTGCGCTACATCGCCGATTTTGATCCCGCCCCAAAAATCATTTTAAAACCGGAAGCTGAAATTAGCTGACAAAAGCTCAAAATTATCCAGTTTTCCCCACAATTAAAGCTGACAGGTGCTAACATTGTCTCAACTGATGCTCAACACACACAAATCTGTTAATATATAAAAAAAAGTTATCCAGGGTGTCCTGAACCTTTAAAAGTTTTGGTTTCGGTTCGTGTCGTTTTAATGCTCAGCCTCGTTACGCGCTGAATTGCATCTTTCTGTGTTTGCAGGAAAGCATGCGAGTCAGCCGACCCAATATATGAGAGGGGCAGAGCAGGATTCTCCCGATGACCACCAAAGCAATACTATTCTTTCTTTGTTATAACCCGCATCAGTTTAAACGCAGTAAAGGCAAGCTTCTTTGGCGATGGTGTTATAGCGGACATCCGCGCTGTTGCAGCCTGATCTCACGAGGAAACGTATGAAAATGTTACGAATTGCCGTGAGATTGTGTTGGCTGAACACGCAGTGCATGCAACGCATCGAGATTCAGTGTACTTTTCACTCGTCAGCCGTTTGCATTCCCCGCGGTCACAAAAGCTCCCTCCCTGTCATCTGACAGTGGAAAGTCTTGAGTGATTGACAGCTAATATGAACCAATATAACGGCAGGGAAGACCGATTT